TTTTCCGGAAAAGCACTTTTCCGGAAAAGGCGTCTGTGGCCAATGTAGACGCGCTTTTCCGGAAAAAAGCCCCGATCGTCATTTTCGCAATTGGGGCTTTTTTGCGGAAAAGACTACTGTGCTGTCTACACTGGCCCTTTTCCAGAACAGTTTTTCCGGAAAAGGACTTTTGCCCGAACAGGAGCAGCATAATTTTTCCGGAAAAACACTGACAATTTTACAGTAGATCGTCATTGCTTTTCCGGAAAAGCAAGCGGCCAGTGTAGACAGCTGGCAAGTTATTCCGGAAAAGCAGCTGCTTTTCCGGAATAAGTGGCCCAGTGTAGACACAGCCCCTATGCTGCTGCATCGGACACAGAGGGAATGTGTGTAGTCAACAGGATTAACTGATAAGCCAAGGCTTATTGGTTAATCATGTAGATGTCTGCGTGTTGACATCCCTACAATGTACTTAAATGCTAATGAGGTACACACAGAATCACATTATAAAAGAGGGTACCCAGAGCAGGGAAATACGGCTCTCTGGGAAACACCTACAGGAACCAGCCTTCTACTGATGATCAATCCATGAAAGAGCTATCAATCAGACCTTGACGCTGTTGTTACGGATGTGAGTATATTTGTAACTTGTGCATATGTCTGTACGGTTGGTTATTTGTAACTTTAACTGTAAATTTAATAACACTTGTATGACAAATGAGATCTGGTACTTGTAAATGTATGTTTGGTCACTACCCAGGGGCAGCCCGAGGCGGGCTGCAAGCAGCTGGCGCCCCAGGCGGACTGCGTGATCGGCGCCCCTGTGCCCCAGGTGAAATGTGCAATCAGCGCCCCTGCCTCCACAGCCCTCAGTGGTGTGATGTCATCATTGGGCGCCCAGTTTAACGCGGCGCCCTGGCGACAGCCAAGTCAACCTATACGCACGGTTCGCCCGTCACTACCCTTGCTCTGTGTGTGTTCCCAGAGACTACATGTGAAGTAAGCTTGAAAATGTAGCCACTAGAGCTGAACTCACAATGGTGTAACACATTACAAAATTCACTTTAAAGGAAAAAAGGTTACGTAACAGAGGCAGATGTGAGAAGATCTCGCCTGTCCCTTTTGTAACACTTCTCTTTTTATCCCTCCAGACGCAAACTGATCACAAAGAATGAAGAAGCATATAATGAAAGAGTCCAGAAAAAAGAGTCAAATGTCAAGACAGCTCTAACGGGAATGTGACCTTATTAAGAGAAACTCTCTGCTGATGCTAAATCCGAAGTAGCACTATGCTCACATTTAGTCGCTGTTTCTGCAGGCAATGCCAAAACTGCAGTTCCTCACTCTTCCTCAGAAGAATTTCAAAACCACATAATTGATCATATTCAAGGTGTCATGTTTTTGTCCTGTCATTTCCTTATTCTCTATATCAGGGGTCTAAAATGCAATTTACCTTAGGAGCCAGTCCTCAAATTCTCCTAGTGGGCCAGCAGGCACCCCCACTATTAGGGCTCTGAAGGGGGTGTGTGTGTGTCTGAACATTCCCTCTAGCTGCCCCTAGGCAATTATGTCCCTTTCCCGCGGGGTCCCTGGTACCATACCAATAGCACAACGAGGCTACAGCAGCCTCTGGCTGCTAGCTCTGCACCATTCCCAGCACATCCCTGTGGCCTGGGGGTGGTGCGTGCAGAGTTGTCCCAGGCCCCACACGCTGGGATGGTCCCCCGTACTCAGGTTAGCCCATGGGGCCCTGGGTGGGCTGAGGCTGGCAGCAGGGGTCACACACACACACACACACCCTGCCTCATTGGGGGTGGGGTGGGGACTGCACACACACACACCCCGCCTTTTTGGGGGTGGGGTGGGGACTGCAGAGAAGTGGAGCTATGCAGCTGCCTGCTCCACTCTCCGAAGCCAGCCCACGCTGAGGCCGGAGCACTCTGCTTGCCACCATGCAGTGAAACACAGCGATCGGGCTGGCCTGGGAGGTGGCAGCAGAGCAGAGGCTGTTGCATGACTCCACTTCCCTGCAGCTCCTGCCACCATAGAGTATGCAGAGCAGCCTGCCCCCTGCTGCAACCCCACACCGGGCCCCCTGGTACTCCATGAGATCTCATCTCGAGGGAAGGTGTGACAGAGAAGGGGCTGGAAGAGGCGGAGCAGGGGCTGGATTTGAGGAAAGGGTACTGAGATCGCTTCTCTCCCTATACCGCTCGGGAACAAAAGGACTCACGTGCCAGTAGCCATGTGCAGGCTGGATTGTGGAGTTGCTCAGGCCACAGATGGCCTATGGGCCATGAGTTTGAGACCCCCTGCTGGATCCCGTATTGCTTCAGGCCACAAGTCTGCAGCAAATCACTGTTCTTGCCTCGTTTCCAGATGGAGATAGATGCTGGCTCTAAGTAAGTGTGCTGTATTCTGATGCTCAGCTTAGCCCTAGCTCTGCTTACGCTCTCTTACCAGAGTAAGCTGGATTGAGGTGTGGGTGCTCAGAGGCTAATGTTTTTATCTCTCTGGCTAATCTTTGCTACTGTTAATAGCGATGCTCTTCATCAGTCAGACTCCTAGCCAGAGTCCTTCCTACATTTGGCGGGGGAGGAGAGGGGGGTCTATGGAATGCACAGCTAATTGTGGTTGCAAACGGCATAAAATAAAGATAACCAGGAGCAGCTTTTACCTTGTAATATCATCCAAAGCTCATACATGCATCAGAGTTTGGACTCCCATATACCAAGGGACACACTATGAGTGTCTATTTGACATTCTTCTGTTCTCTGAAAATAAGTAAGGTAAGCAAATTTGTATCTCCCGGCTGCCCAACCACTTCAGGCTTCCCTGGGGTTGCACCTTCACAACTGACAATTTTTAAGATACTAAAAGCAGATGCTCTGAAATATGGATAATACAGGATCTTGCTGCCACTGTCTGACTGGCTCTGCAGGAGAGCAGTGTGTGTAAGTGGAGAGTTAGATTTATTGAGAACAGAAGCTGAATAAGTATAAAGGACAGTTTACTAAGAAAAGAACATACTATGATGGTCAGACAAGTTAATAATAGCAACAGTCCTTTGAAAATGCACTTGTGGTATAAGCCTTTGCCATTTTTTCTCCAAATCCCCCCTTTTAGACTCAAATTTTATTCTGCTTTTCAGGGGGAGAAAATTTTTTGAATCTTTCTTTTGTACAAGCCGATCATAAACCACGTGTATGCACAACACTAAACTTGATTAGTCAATATCCTCTTTATCAACTTTACTCTTTATCAAATTTGGTAAACAGTTCTCCCTGAATAATGCATCATTTGAAAAAGTGGCTATGTGCCACTATATTAATACCTGCTATAATCAACAGCAGTATTTCTCAACCTGTTGAATACCAGAGACTTATCCCTTCCTAAACTGTAACAAGGAGATCTCAGGACCAGTGACAGTCCACAGAGCAGTCGCTGAGAAATACTGGCAACCTAGCTGCACTCTCAATTTTGATAGACTTCAAAAAGCGAACACCTTCGATGTAGCTTTCCAGAGCACAGGCTGTTTGTTTCAAATATGTTTAGTTCTCAAGCTGAGAGCACAAATTGAAAGCTGTAATTTTGTAACCGAAGACTTTCTTACAGCACATTTCAGGGTGGTGAGACTACAGTTCCCAGTTCAGTTGATGGGGAAGATGAGTTTTTTCCTGAGTGTGAAACTGGGTTGTGGCATCTGCTTCCCTTGGTTCAGCCTGTCATTCTTTCTGCTAACCTCCTGGTTCACTGCTGTCAGGATAGAGAGAATATCCTCTCCTCTGTCAAAAAACAAGAACCTCAACATTAGCAACTGGGAAGAGTTTCACCGAGCATGCTACCCGCTAACACCCTTTTATTGCTGAAGGGTGCTATTGCATTCTTCCATCTCCTGATCAAAGCCAGCAGTGCAATGAGCAGATAATGGATTTAACTTTATTCTGCTACACTGAACAATTTATAGTAGCTGCTCTGTAACTGCTGTCTTCTAAACAAAGGAGTTGGACCATATTCAGGTATTTCTCCTTGTATACATGAGATTCTATTTTATTGAGATGTGTGTGTGCTTATAAATACATAGATGTGTTGATACACATTTCCAACCCAACCTCCATACAATCCTAGGGCTGGAAGAGACCTCAGGAGGTCATTGAGTCCAATCACCTGCTAAAAGCAGGACCAATCCCAACTCAGTCATCCCAGCTAGGGCTTTGTCAAGCCAGGACTTAAACCTCTGGGGCTGGAGATTCCACCACCTCTCTAGGTAACCCATTCCAGCGCTTCACCGCCTTAATGAGGGTTTGTCATCCTAATATCCAACCTCAACCTTCCCCGCTGCAACTTGAGACCATTGCTCCTCATTCTGCCGCCACTGAGAACAGCCTCTCTCCATCCTCTTTGGAAACCCCCTTCAGGTAGCTGAAGGCTGCTCTCAAATCCCCACTCTCTCTTCTGTAGACGAAATAAGCCCAAATCCCTCAGCCATTCCTCGTGAGTCATGTACATATATCCATAGTTCCCACATACGTGAATTTTACTGCATGCAGGTGACAGCAATTCCAGATCAGTTGTTGTCAATTTTATATTGTACATGTGTCAATTTGAAGATGAAGTAGTGACACAACTATATGAGGGCTGTAGCGTATTTACCCTATAAACACTCCAGGTCTACACACATATGCCTCACAAAACTCCACTAATTGCACCACTTGCATTAAAGCATTGTCTACCCAAGAAGATAGTACTAGTGTAACTTATCAGTTCTTAAATAGGTACAAACTGTTGTGCAGCTACACTTCTCAGTTTAACTAAATCACAGCTTTAGTTGAAAAGGTGCAATTTTGTATAGACCAGATATAAGGCTACGAATGAAGAAGTAACAAAATGTATGTACAGGCACAAATCAGTGTAAAAGCTTTTATGAATAAGATAGCTGTAAGAGTTAGAAATAAGATGTACTAACCGTGGACAACTCTTCTCGAGGTGTTCACACAGTGACTGTATATACCACGTGCCTTGGGTTGTGCTTCTGTAGGAAACAAAATCCTTCATGGTGGCCATTCCAAGCAGAAAGTCTGCCTCATTTGGAATGCACTCCAGTTGAAATCTTGCATCTGCCTCTACAGAATAATCCGTCTCTGTAGAATCGGTTTCTATATGTATCCCTCTCTGGAATGTGTCACCTTGGCAGGCCTGAATGAAGAATACTTTTGGTTTTCCAGCAAGTGATGGGCAGTTCGTGCCAGTGAAAGAAGTGGTTAGTTCCTGGATAGGTATTTCCTGCCCATCAGTACCAAATACGATGCCTTTATCACCATGGGAAAGGATGCAGCAAACAAAGCAGTCGTGGGCACGGTGATCCTTGTTCCTGTACATGTGCGTGATGTGACGGATATCTGCTGCAGTGAGGTCTCTGTGCTCTTTTATCTCAAAGTGAAGTTTGGTGAAGACCTTTGTCAGAGCTGCTGCAAAGTAAACAGAAGGGGCACAGCAGGAAACATTTTGTAAGTTTTACTAGCTAAATTCTTCATGTAACAGAAGAAAATTGGGCTCATGCTTTTCTCTGTCATTATACATTTAATGCCTCCCATCAATTGTGTTTTCAAAGTGGGGCTTTATCTCAGCTACCATAGAAAAGACCATGAGGAAAAGGAGAATCTAAGGACTTGAACAATAGCAAACTGATATTGTCATTATTTTCATTTACTTGAATGATAGTAGAGCACGTACTTATCAAATTAGCAAATGACACAGTGTGTCAATTAGTGTGGTGCCTGGAACTGGACAGTTTTCCAGCTAAGCTTTCACCAGTGATGAGTAGAACAGAACAATCACCTCGGCTGTGTCTACACTGGGCCACTTATTCCGGAAAATCAGCCGCTTTTCCGGAATAAATCGCAAGCTGTCTACACTGGCCCTTGAATTTCCGGAAAAGCAACGATGCTCTACTGTACAAAATCAGCCACTATTCCGGAAAACTATTCTGCTCCCGCTCGGGCATAAGTCCTTATTCTGGAACACTGTTCCGGAAAAGGGCCAGTGTAGACAGCCCAGTAGTCTTTTCCGGAAAAAAGCCCCGATCGCGAAAATGGCGATCAGGGCTCTTTTCCGGAAAAGCGCGTCTACATTGGCCACAGACGCTTTTCCGGAAAAAGGGCTTTTCCGGAAAAGCAGCCTGCCAATGTAGACGCTCCTTTTCCGGAAAAACTGAAAACGGAATAATATTCCGTTTTAAGCAGCTCCGGAAATTCATGCCAGTGTAGACACAGCCCTCCTGTATGTAATCTACAGCCTTCCTGTTAATATATCCTAGAATGACATTTGATTTCCCCCCCCCCCCCAATAACCTCTTATTGCTGGCTCATTACATGTGTGATATAGTATAGCCCTCAGTTCCTTTTCTAGAATGCAGCTGCTTAGCCAGTTATTCCCCGTTTTGTTTTACGCACTGGATTTTGCCTAAGTGCAAAGACCTGCACTTGTCATTATTGTATTTCCAAAGGAATTCTTAATTTTACCAAGTTCACTGTGAATTCTAATCCTTTGTCCTCCAAAGTGCTGGCAATCTCTCCTCACTAGATGTCAAGCACAGATTTTATAAGTGTAACCTCTATGCCATCATCCAAGCTGTAAATGAAAATATTAGTAAGTACTGGATCCAGAACTGGCCACTGCGGAACACCACCTGATAGATCCCTCTGTTTGACAGTGAATGTAGTGGTTAAGTACACATTATACAATAGACCATACATTTCCCCCCCCTCTCTCACATTACTACAATTTTCCTGGAGTTCAGATGCAAACCGTGCCCGATTTTTTCTAGTCCTCGCTGTACCTGCATCAGCGTTTGTTCCGTTCCGGTCTTTCATTTGTTGAAGTTTAGGCACCTCTGATCTTGCTTTTGAAAAGTCATGATTGTTGAGGATCAGGCAGATTCCACGGGGCTGGCTGTTCATTTTGTACATGTCAGTCTGTTTGGGAAAACAACCCACAGTCTGAGCTATGGCAACCAGTCATTCACATACTCCTGTGTGTTCTGCCAGATAGTGGGTTCAGTCTAATGCCCGGTTCCAGGGCACAGCGCATGGAGAGCTGTACTAATGGGGCAGCCAAGGATTCTCCCTACTCCATTCTCTTCATTGCAGGCTCTGTGCCCCCTGTTTCCCTCCTTAGGGTAGGGGCTGTGCTGAGACCAGGGTCACCATGGCTACAAGTGCCATAACTTAGGGACATTGGGGGTCTCCCACCCACCCCTTCTCTCCTCATGCATTCTTGCTCCATCCCACCTATGCTTCTCTTCACACAAACCACTTGCTCATTCCCCGCCCCACAATCCCCCTCAGCTACCCTTCCAGACGTTCCCCCTTAGCTCACTTCACACTCAGTCACCCTGCCCACGCCCTGCCTTGTTTTTCAGTCTGATCGCTTTTGCTTGTGCCTCCCCATTTCCCTCCCCTCAGCCTTTCCCTGCTTCTGCTCTTGCTCTAGTTTACATTTCATTTTTCCATCCTTCCTCCCTATAAATCTCTCCCCCATCCTGCTCCTTGCTCCCACTCTGTCCAGTTAAATCTCCTGCCCTCCCCATTCTCATAGACCAGGGCTATCCAACATGCGGCCCACGGTGCAATTTGGGTTTACGTGGGACTCAACATGTGGCCCACGGGTGGGATCCTTTGAACATGGCTTCCACTGGGAACACGCTCCACAACAGAAGGCGTCTCCCAGGCAGGGTGAGCTCTGAAAGACACAAGTGGACGGGCTGGCTGGAACAGACGGGTACAGGGTGTCGGCATTTCTAGCCGACAGAGAGGAGGTGCTGGGAATGCCGGGGCACTGTGGGAAGTGCTGGCTGCTTAGCCTTCTGGGCAGAGCCTGAGAGGTGCTGACTGGCTCACACTGGCCACGTTTGGGTTTGGCACCAAGGCTTAAGGCTTCATCTTTGTATTCATGCCCCTCAGTGTGAAAGAAGCTATTTGCATAGATATTTACATGTATATGCAACCACACTGAAGCTGTGGCCTTCGGCATGTGCTGTATCATTGTGGCCCCCAGGGCTTCCAAAGTTGAGTAGCCCTGCTCTAGACTCTCCCCTCACCTCCCAGGAGATGCCTTGGATCTCTCCTTCCCCTACTTCCTACTTTCCCTTAGGCAGCAGTGCAGAGGGGAGAGGGGGGAGGGACAGGAGAGAGCCAGTGCACGCAGGGATCGAGCTACCCCCCACTGGTCCTCTGTTGTTGACCGCCTTAGGGGTTACACATTTACCTGAATACACACATTTTAATCCCTGGCCCCCTGACAGCTTCAACGATATCATGCAGGCCCCAATGCTCCAGCATCCAGGCCCTTCCCAGGCCACTCTACTGCCTCACTTCTCCCGTCTCCCTAAAGCCCTCATGGACCTTCTCACTCGCCTTCCCCCGGCTGCCTCCTGACAACATTCACCCTCTGGCCTGGCTCCCTGAAGCCCCAGCTGTTTCTGCTCCCAGCCCGTTATACATCTAGCCTAGGCCCTGCTCTGTGGCCTTCTCTGCTCCCCTTGCAGAGTCCGATCTGGGCATCTTTACATTTATGCTCTCCCTTTTCTCCAGCACTCCTGAGCCTTCCTGCCTGGGCCAGGGTCCCACAGCAGGGGACAAGCAGAAACTGGGCTACCTGGCCAAAAGCAGAAGGGAGCGTTAGCGCTCTCTGCTGGCCAGAAGTAGGAACTGCAGGGTTTACAGCTAAATATGAAATTTCTTACCTGAAGTTTGTTACCAGTTTCTCTCCTCATTCGTTACCCACAGCTACTACCCCTGCCTATAGCATTTGGGAGTTGTTGCTTGAGGCTCCAGGGGTAGGCTGAGGTGCCACCTTTAAGCTTTGGCTGCCCCGGCAGAGCTCTGTGTCCCCACCACCAGGGGATTTCTGGTGGGACAGGTCACCGGGTTCTGTGAATGTTATTGCCTGCAACGTGTCCCTGACTTTGAAGAAAAATATCTGTAATCGAATCTTAACCTGAGTCCGTGAGAATCCCCCCACTGGCCTGAGGAAGGGGAATGGTGCAGAAGCCCTGCTTCCTCCAGGCAGCTGGCAGAGGCCAGATCCTCTCTGGGTTCTTTCGCCTTTCAGCCCAGCTCCATTGCAAGGATTGCCCCTGGAGCCAGCCCAACAACTTCCTCCTTATCCTGAGACTCCCACTCAGAAGCACCTCACTGAACTTTTCTGCACCGGTGATGTGACTCGAGGACAGGGTGGGACCTGGGCCCTAGTTGCACAAGGCTCAGACAGCTGGGACCAGGCAAGCCATAACTCCTCTGCTGTAGCGCTTGTAAATGCGTTTCCAGAGAGGACCACAAGCTTGTGGGGTTTTGTTTTCATACAGAGACATATCTGTCTGCTGCTTCATACTCTCCCGTCTCACCATCTGCCAAATATCATACTATTCCAGGTACAGCATGCTCTCATAAAGTAACTCTTAATCCTGATTTACCTGCTGGATTTCTTCCTGGGTGCCTGGAGAATCCCGTGCAGTCTGAGAAACCCAAAGGCTGTCCCCGCCTAAAATAAATTTAGAAAGAGACAGTCAGGAATGGAGCTAGATAAAGCATAAAACGTTATCACCAGGGAAAGCAGAGAAGTTACTTTAAAAGGCCACTCGTCTGCTCATAAGACACGTGTGTCACTCCTCCTAGCTGCACTGCAAGTGCAATGAGTAAATGCCATCCTTTGCCCTCACAGGGAAACTGACCTGACTTCTCTGTAAGCTCCTCCACACAGCAACCTACTAAGTGCTACACAGGCCCTTGGGGAACCTGCAGTGGCCAGGGGAGAAACACCTGCGGTGGGTGGGAGGGAAATCCCCTCACTCACCTGGGCCAAACTCAGCCCCAGTCCAGTTAGTGCTGCAAGGAGAGAGTGTGTGTCTGGGGGGGGGGAGTTCTCTTTGCCACAGCCCCAGGGCAGCCTGCACCCCAAGCCCTTCAGCCCCAACTGCACCCCAGCAAAAGCCCCACACATACTTTGAACCTCCACACAATGAATTCACTGGTAGTGGGAGCAGGAGCAGGAGCAGGTCCCCAACACTTGGGTTGTGGTGTATCAATATATGCTGCCAGGATAACGGCTATTCATCTAATGGATGTTTCATCCACCTCTACTACTGTGCTGACTAGCCAAATACTGAACTGGTCCAGCTATTTATCAAATGTGAACGTCAACTGCCCTACTGACTACTGACAAAAGTTCAATACTGCACAGGTAAAGCATGAATTTTCTATGCCGCAAGAATAATTCCCTTGGTGTATAATAAACTAAAACGACACAATCTTGCATAGGCCTTTCTGACCCAGACTTTCATCCACAGCACCACTCCTGTTCTGGCTAGCCCCAATTAGCTGTATCAGTCCCCCTGCTTAAGCTTGTTGGTATATGAAATCTTCCTCCCTCCAGGAATGGATTTGGGAAGTTTCACTGTGCCACTCCCCAAAACTGTACAGAATGCAAAAGAACACCACTTCCCTGGGAGCTAGTGTGCTTCAGCGACAGCTCACAGAACAGTTTTGAAAGGAGGTCACTATCACTGCCCCCTACTTTACAGACTTGCCCAAGGTCACCCAGCTGGCCACAGACAGAGCTGGGAGTGGAACTGAGTCCCAGCACAGTGCTCTATGTAACTGGGCCATACAATCTGCTGGGGAGACAAAGATTTTTCAACTTGAGTCCTTAACTAGATACACTCATATGAAGTAGATCACTTCTTTCTCTGCATTCCCTGTGGGCCAGATCCTGCATCAGTGTCCGATCGCAGACACTCTCTGCATCTGTGCAGTCTCTGTGGTCAATGAGACACTGCATGAATCTGTGCTCATGAGGCTGATGCAGAACCACAGCCTGCATGTAAAGTAAAATACCTGAGAGAGGCAGCACAATAAAGAGCGTGGTGGGTTTTCTTGGAAGTTTCACTAGAGTAAAAACTGATCACTCAGCTTCTCATAACTGTTATTCTTCAAGATGTGTTGTTCACATCCGTTCCAAGCAGGTGCACGCGCACCATGTGCTTGGTCATCAGAAACTTCTTCCCTTAGCAGCTCCCATCAGGTCGGCTAGGGAGCTCTCTGGAGTGGCATTGTCATGGTGCTTAATATATGACCCTGCCAACACAACCCTCCTTCAGTTCCCTCTTGCTAGAACTGTGTTTGATGGGTCCCAGGAGAAGGATGGGGAATAATGGAGGGAGGGAGGGAGGGGAGGAGTAGAATTAGTCAGAATATCCCACTTCTACCACACAGAGCACCTACAGGTCCAATGTTATCTGTGACCATGCATTGCAGAAGTGGACAGATGTTTCATGAAGCACAGGGAAGACTGCAGGGCTGTGTCTCAACTGGCCAGTTTTTCTGGAAAATCATCCGCTTTTCCGGAAAAACTTGCCAGCTGTCTACACTGGCCGCTTGAATTTCCGCAAAAGCACTGACTTCCTACTGTAAGAAATCAGTGCTTCTTGCGGAAATACTATTCTGCTCCCGTTCAGGCAAAAGTTTTTGCGCAAAGGGGCCAGTGTTGACAGCTGAGATTTGATTTCCGCAAAAAAGTCCCGATTGCGAAAATGGCGATCGGGGCTTTTTTTGCGCAAAAGCGCGTCTAGATTGGCCACGGATGCTTTTGCGGAAAAGCGTCCGTGCCAATCTAGACGCTCTTTTCTGAAAATGCTTTTAACGGAAAACTTTTCCGTTAAAAGCATTTCTGGAAAATCATGCCATTCTAGACGTAGCCCAGGAACGTGGAGGGTACGCTGTCCTTGGGTGTCCCTTGAAAAACCTTGTTTGGAGCCCGACAAAATAGCTTGATCAGGCCCTGTCCCTGTCCTAAGGGTGGATTTGAAAGTTTATACCTACTCTTTTTGCCTCTAGAGACATAGAAATCCTGCCTTGGGCAGGGCTAGTACTGCCACTGCTGCTCCAGCTAGGGCCTATGCTGGGGAGCAGGAGTGTACATCCCTAGCGACTTCATAGTTGCCCTAGAGTCTTTCAGGCTGCACAGCTTTCAGTTGGGGCCTGATCCAAGAACAGCCCCCACACTTTTGAAAGGGAGGGACACTAAGGTCTGTTGAGTCAGAAAGGTCATATATTAAGTGCCACTCCAAGGAGCTCCCCAGCTTCCAACGGGGGCTACTAAGGGGAACATTTTTCTGACAAGCACGTACACACACCTGACAGTAATCAATGTGAACAAGCACTCGAAGATGAACTATGAAAAAAAAAATTAGTTTAGTTTAGGGATGTAAAATCCCAGTCAGTCAGTTAACCGGTTAAACATTAGGACTAGAACAGCCCCTGTCTGCAGTGGGTCCCCTGCTTGTGGGGAGCAGCAACAACACCCACCGGTTAGCTGGAACTGGTAAGCATTACCCAGTGATGCTTACCAGTTAACTTTTCACAGTCCTACTTCGGTTAGATAGGATCAAATAAACAGAGATCACTTCGTACCAATCTAGAGAGGTGAGACAAGTCAAGTAGATGGGAGTAAAAAAAAATGTGACAAACATGGGAAAAACAGTTGAAAATTCATTAAGAAAGTCCTAAACATCATCTCCATGTAAGCTAATGCGTGTCAGTTACCTTCAGAGACTCTTTGACCTCCATGTCCTTCCACAACGTACATTTCTACTGCATACAAAAGAAATTCAGTGTTTAGTTATAAATGCTTAGCACATTAAAATGAGGTGTCAATTCAAACGTAAGGGATGTGAAAGAGGCTATTTTTACCACTTTGCACTAATTCATATTCTTCAATTTTCTTCAGGAGGCTTTTGTCAATTTTCTCACAAATAGTCTTAAGGGTCTTTAGGTTTTCTTCTGCCAACAGTCCCTTCTTCTCCATCTCAATTAAAACATCGATCATTGTCTGGGCAATTAGAGAGATAGTTTCCTATTAAATTCAGAATTTCCTTTCCCTCCACATTCTCCAGTACAGAAACTTCTCTTCTAGTAGAGCCATATCCTCAGATACACCCATCATCTTCCAGACCTCTGTGAATGGAAGTTATTCAGACCTGGCTAGGATGGATCCCACAATGGTGATCTCATATTTATACAGCACTTTATACAAGATTCCCACGGGGCATGGCAAGTGTTAACTACTGATTGCTTAAGGAATCACTCTGACTACAACCCAAGAAACTTTGCCTGTTTCTTTACCTGTTTTCTGGAGGGAAAACAAGCAAAGAACTCTTAACAACATAAAGTGCAGTGAAAATTAGGCAGGCAAACACCAGTGCCCACATAAGAATCAGCGGGTTCCTGAGCATTCATCTGACTCCACAGAAACAACCAAAACTGCAGTTCCATCTCTCATCAAAAAATAACTCCTCCAGCAGCACGGAGCCCCTATCTCCATCATGGACCTGATGTGTCGTCTTTGCATATTTTTCTTTGTGATGAGAGAAAATAAAGTGTTCCATCCACTGGGATATTGTGGAATGGATGGGCAGAGAACTAGAATGGAGCAGCCATACCTGTGTGCTTCTGAGCTGCTGTTTCCATTGGTCTCAGTAAGTCTCTCCCAGTGGCCTAGACCAAGGAGGTGAGGCTCTAGATAGTGCCAGGTAGTGTGGTTCAACAGTTAGGGCACTAAGTCTGGGAGTTAGGAGATGAGGGTATTATTCCTGGCTCTAACACAGGCCCATTGCCTGATTTAAATAAATCACTTAATCTCTGTGCCTCAGTTTCCTCACCTATAAAATGGAGACATAGTGTTCACCCACATTTTTTTGAGGTCAGTGGAAGAAAAGCAGTCATGTTATTGACTAATTGTCCTTATTGGTAATCAGTTAATTGGAAAACGTGGCTCTTAAGTCTGAGAAGGATGAAAGACACCAGCATCCTGTGATAAAAACACTCTGACTGCTTGTTCTACTCCTGCCCCTTCACTACCTTGTTTATTTACATAAAAGAGTTTATACTCTTTAGGGTAGGGACTGTCCATCACTTATTGAGTTTTACATTATCTAGCCCAACAGACACCGTAGTCTGGACACCGTAGTAATAAACATGGTTAATAATAATGAAACATATGAGCCATCTAGTCAATAGCCAGAAATGTTCCTTTCCCACACTGGGGAGGAGGAAAGAGAAGTGGTGTTAAGATGTGGAAGCATAGGGTGGTTGTTCCCAAAAAAGTCCTGTGTTCCCCCCCTCATCTACCCCAGCTAACCCAACACTCTGCATCCATTAAAAAGCAATGAAACAATTCTTACTATCTCATTGTCCATCTTGCACTTTGGAAGCTCTTTCTTCAGAAGAAACTTCCAAGATTTCAACTCATCTGTTGTTATGTTTTCTGAGAGCTGGAAAAGCAGGTATCTGGAGTGGGAAAACAGGGAATTACTTCACTCAGTATGACCTACCATTATTTAATATTATGGGGCTAGCTACCAAGTGCTTGCTAGAAGCATACATGGCACAAAAAGTGAAAAATGTATGATATACACACACACCAGTGTTAACATAAAGCAGACTGATGTTTTTTTATAATTCACTTGGTCCCAGAACCTGGAACTCAAACAGGGTGCTTTTTATGCAGCCAAAATGAATTGGTTTTTAAAAACTAAGCTGAGCCGCTCAACTAAAGCCCGCTATGGACTGATGGTTTTTACAGTTTGGTTATTAGTCAATGCTTTTTCTCTGTTTTCATCACTTACCAGTAACTTTCAGGGTTCCTAAACTGCAATAGTCCATGATCAATACACTGAGGGCTTTGCTTCACTACTCGGTGGATCAACACTGCAGCGATCGATCCACCTCCTGTCGACTCTGGTACTTCAACAGGACAAGAAGAGTAGCCAGAGTCAACAGGAAAGTAGCCCCACCTGACCTTAATACAAACAAGACTCTGCAGAAAGCATGTCAACTGCAGCTATGCTATTCGCATAACTGAAGTTGCATAGTTTATATCAATGAGGAGGAGGGGAGTGGTGTAGACTAGGTCTGAGATACAGCAGATCAATTTGCACCACAATCGTATTTATACTAGCAGGTGAATGCCCACAGAGAAGCTTTGTTCCAGGTCTAGCTAAAAGCCAGCCCGGAGACCCTCAATGGAGCTGAAAAAATACACAGATAGGAGTAATTTCCATTTGAGCTGCAGGATGTGTATGTATGCATGTATTTTAATCAAATTCATAGAAGGAAATCCAAAATTTGTCCTGCAGGGGCAATATAACTTGCAGATGTGCCGAAAGCAAGTTCAAATCTTTAAACATCTGGGACTGTTAAATAGTTTTACAGGATTCCACTGAACCTCTGACAGGCAACTTTCAACGCAAATGCTGGTGAACACTCAAGCAGAAGCACCCTGCCTCCATAATGGTGAGAGGGAGGAAAATGGAAGGAAAGATGAATTTGGGCATGTTATCTCAGATCAGAGCCAGGAATTATTGGATAAGCGGTGTCTCCACTCCATCAATGAGCAATACGGATGGATGGCAAGCTAAAAACCAGAGCATGTCATGTGGGGGGCCTTAAGGAATGAGCCTCTGGTGCCTTTCACTGTCAGAAAAGGTAGCCTGAAAATGCAGGCGATTACAGTGGCTGTATATTCTGCTCATGACACCCTTCCCTGAGGAATAAACAGCTAATCTGAACCAACCAGGTCTTGAATCAGGGATAGAAATCCCCAGCTGACCCCGAGTTCTGGGGAAATGCCACACGTAGCCCAGGGTCAGCTAGGGGCTCCCCAGCTGATTCCAGGCTCCACTTGGCATTTCAAAATGACAGCACAGCATGGAGCCTGGGGTCAGCAGGGGACTCTGAGTCCCCCACTGACCCTAGGCTCCATGCGGGCGCTTCCACTTTGAAATGCACGAGAGCTGCCGCTGGGGACTCTTGTACATTTCAAAGCTGGCACGCTTGCATGCAGCCTGGAGTCAGCAGAACTTCCTGCTGGCCTCCGGCTGCATGCTGGCCTCTGCCCCCCAGCAGAGACTCTTGTACATTTCAAAGGAGGAATGCGGAAGTGCCTATTAACTAGTCCAGTAGTTGATGGAAATTCCATTGACTACTCCACTAGTAAATTATTTGATACTTAACATCCTTAAAATGCACTCTCCTTGGATTCCAGCCTGCTGAGAAGAGGAATTTGTTTATTAGGAAATCAAAATGCCGGCTTTCATTTTCAGGGTCAGGCCAGACACACCCACAACTCCAATCATACAGAACTGGGCTCCAACGTGTTTAATTCAGACCAGGAGTTTGGTTTTCTGAAATACGATGCTCTCTAGTTTGAATGCTAATACTATGTAATCCTCTGATTTAAATAAACAGCTGCAGCCAGATCCTGAGCAAAACATGGCACAGCTGAGAAACAATGGTGCAAAGACATTTGTTGCTTTTGCAGCTTCTGGTTCTCGTGCCAATTTGTGCCAGCCCGATCCCTGCTACAAAGTAGAGCAGGCGCAGGGCTGCTCTATAATGGGGATGTAAAATTTCGATTAGTCGCTATCCTGCTATACCTCTCCCTTTGAAATGTACAAAAACCGCTCATGGCTCTTGTACATTTCAAAGGGAGAGGCACAACAGTTGGGACACCTCTGCCTCCCCTGCCCCCCACACTTCAAATGCCACATGCTCTTCACAGGGTGGAAGGAGGCTTCCCACGCCCCCAGGCCAATCAGGACCTGGGGAGTGTGTGTAGCCTCTTCCTCCCTGCCAGGGGCATGGGTGCCTACTGGTCCTAGTGCCAATTATGGTCTGGGGGTGGGAAAGCCCAGAAGAATTCTGGCCCGGCTCCTTCCAGATTAGGTCTCGTCCCTTGCGGTCCCACCTGGGACCACTTAAAATTTTTTTGATGTGGCCCTTGTCCAAAAAGTATTGCCCACCCTTGCTCTGATCCTCCCCTGGGATGTTTTCAACCTACTATTTAAAAGAATGCACAATTTACTCTGTCATTCATGATTTGCCTTTGGACTGTTTAAGTTGCATTAGTGTCCGATTCACATACATTTACTGTACATTAACATGCACATCAAGGTAGCAAAATATTTATATATGTTATGCAAAGGGATGGCATAACTGTTTTGCAGACTTAAAACTCCCATTGAAGTCCCTGGGCTCCAACTGAAGTCAATGACAAAACTGCCATTGATTTAACTGGGAAGGCTTGGGCCCTGAGAGAGCATTTATGAACTACAGGTACAAATCACATGCAAATCATTAACAGCGTTGCTACTTACATTTTCATGAGACATTAGATTCTGCTACCAGTGTGACACTGCGCTACCCACCTGAACGGAGACACCTTTGCCCTCCCTGGAATTTGAAGCTCCCTCTCCATCTCCTCTCTGCTGGAGTGCAGTTTATCAGTCAGGACATCTATGCGGTTTATCCTGAACAGCAGTTCCTTTAAGAAGGACAGGTCGTCTTTCTCCATCATTCCCCTTTCCTCAAGTGCTAGGAATAAGGCTTCAGAATCCTGGATGTTTTCCTGCTTCCGCAGTGGGATGTATTCCAGGCTTAGAAACTTCAGAGCCACCAGATCTTCTGTGGTCAGAGCTTCACTGATGTTGAAGAGGAGTCTGTGGAAGTCCATCCTCAGACAGCTGACAAAATGTTATTTCAGTCGTAGGTAAAAGGAAAAGAGGGGTCCCTCGTGGCCTCTCTTTAGACTGTGAATGAGAGAACAGCTTCATGTCACTGGTGTGGCAACAGTTAGCAATGTCTCATAGTAAATTGTTTTTTGTATTTCTGTCCCTCAGCGCTGCCATGCCTTTGATCATTCTAGCAGTAGGATTGCATACCACTGGGCTCACTACCCTAGTTAAGTACCTGCACCTGGCCACTTATGATACTGGAAAAAACAGACCCCCTTTCCCAATAAGAACTTGGTATCTTATGCCCATGGAAGTCAATGATACATCTTTATTGACTTCAATGGGGCAGAATCACCTAACTGGGCTGCATAATACTTTACTCTGAAGGAGATTCAATGTTAATTAACTTGGCCACATTTATTAGAAGTGCTACTCATGATCATGAAACGATCCAGTTCCTCCTCTCGCAGATATGCGGTTTGCCAGGATAGCTTCCTGCAACAGCTAATTCTGCCGTCTGCCTCGGCTTCAGCAGTATTTTACTGCCTTACTTCTAACCTTAGCCAAGTGGTTCTCAAGAGTGGTCCTCGACCGTGGGCCACAGGCTCAGGGCTGCTCCCCTTCCCCGGCACTGCAGCCCCACACGCATCCCATGAGGTTGGCCTCCCATTGCTGTGGGGGAGCCTCAAGCCTCACAAGTTGGATCCAGGTCATGGGGGAGGAAAGTGGCCACCCAGTGCCTCCTACTGGCAGTGCAGGAAACTGCTCTCCTGGATGCTTTTTGTTAGTCCCATTGGCTGGAATCCTAGCTAGACCCTCACCACCCCAGCCCAGTCTAAGGATGTTAAATCGCAGCGATCAAACGAATCGTGTAGTCGATACAATTTGTATCGACTACACGACTCATCTATA